TTATTTTATTAATCAATATTAATATCTATATTTACATATATGTCATTTTAGTATTTATTTTAACATATAAATTGATTGTAAATAATAAAAGCTATACGTAATTTATAATCTTAAAACATGTGAATAAACTGAAACAAACATGAACACATACATAATTTCTAATTTACATACATGTAATTAAACTGAAATCGACATAAACAGTCATTATTATTTTGTGTCATAAATAAAACACGGCATAATTTATTAAGAATAAGAATTAATAAATCATTCATTTAATATATTTATGGTAAATCATACATAACAAAGCATACATAATTTATTAAGAATGAGAATTAATATGAGTTAATAAATCATTTTTAATATAATAAATCATTCATACTATCAAATAAATAAAACTATTAAAATTTAGTGTAATATATAGTAATTTCCTATATAGTAACAATGAATTCTCTTCAATAACTTTGAATACGATGGTTTACTTTCACATTAATTATAATAATATATGCAGAATTAAAAAAAATCTATATTTATATATAGTAACTATTAGTATTAGCTTTTCAAGTTGTATACCTAATTTAAAATATATTTTTCTAACGTAATTAATTACCTACCATTTTGTATTATGTATATAGATATATTTAAAGATATATATAAATAAAATATCTCTGAATTCAAGAAATAAACGTATAAAAAGATTTATATTTTGTGTTAAACTCAATCAACTATAATCTTAAAAATTACATTTTAATTAATATCAAGGTAAAAAAAATAATATCAAAAACAAAATAAATAAATATATAATTTACAAAAATAATAATAACAGAATAATGAAAGTTGTTATAAGAACATTGTGAAAAGTTGTTATAAGAACATTATGAAAGTTAGTGTAACTTAACTGAAACTAGAAATTCATTAAATTGTTTTTAATGATAAAATAAATATTTTATTAAGGTATCCTTATAGTTGTAAAAAAAAAGAAAATTTCATACTGACTTAAAAAGCTTAATTATATTTTTAGTACTAATACAAAAAAATAAAATGTATATTTCAAGAGGTTAAGAGAGACTTAATATAAAATAACTCAACAAGAAACTAATAATAAGTGAAACTAGATGACTTTACAAAACAAACCAACTAAAAAAATATACAACGACATAATAAAAATAGAACATAACTTCATTCAAACAATTACAATAGTTGTATTAGAAAACTTAGTTAATTTAACAAAATCGAAGTTGAATTTTCTCAGAAAAAATAAATGTAACAGAAAATATGATAAAAAATATTAAGAAGGTAGACCCTACTTTTAAACCTATCAAGTAAAAAAAGAGAAAACTCAGCTCCAAAAGAACAGAAGCCGTAAACGCGAAAATAGAAAGACTACTCAAAGTAGAATCAGTCATAAATTAAAACACGTGTAAGTGAAGGCACACGTTTATAGGAAGTTTAGTCCCGTCTTTCCAATTTTAGAATTAAAAATGGGGAATAAAATTAAAGTAAACTAAAAATTTGAAGATAAGAAAATTGAGAATACACAACTATATTTACAAAACAGTTACCAACTGAGTTTTTTTTTTGCTAAAATACCAAATCCCGCGCGAAGCGCGGACTTCCCCTAGTTTAGTTATATAGTCGCCCATGTCAACGTGTACATGAATGTATATGTAAAAGTATATAAATGTGATGATAAATATATGAATATACCGTTAATTAAGATTTAAATTATTAAATAAAATTAAGAAAAAATAAAACAAACCTAGAAATTAATAACATTTTTCATATGAAGAAAATCAAATTGTATCCGTAAACAATAAAAATAATAACTATACTATTAAAGTAGGATCCTATTCTTAAATTTTAGGATTCTACCCCTAGACTTTTATCATATTTATAAGATAATACCCTTATTTATTTTTAGAATCTTAATTAACTAAGAAACTAAATATTTCCTATATTTATGGTAATTTATAATCTTTCCTATTTTTGTGATTAATAATAATTTTTCTCTTATGGAAATTATGATTTTCCATTTAATTTTAATATTATATTTCTATGCATCATATTATTTAGCGATCAAAATTTATAAATCATTATTTACTGTGTCATTTTATCCATAATAATGATATGTCAATTCAATTTGTTTTAAAACTAATTTTTAGATATAAAATAAGTAAAAATGTAAACTTATCCTAGGTTATTAATAACGAAAAGAAACTAATATCGTTATATGAATAAATTGTGTTTTTTTATATTACCATTGTTTCATTTTTTTTTTCAAATTACAAGAGAGTTTTTATTAAAGAAATTAAAAAAGCAATTTTCTTTAATATTAAAAATATAAGTTATTTAACAAATTTTAAAAAATATATTATCAGTTTTTGTGGGGTTTTTAGCGGATCACGGATATCATATTACAGATTAATAGCGGATTTTAAGATATATACCATGTTGTCTCAAATTTTTAATTAGTAAATTTCAATTAAATATGAACTGGATTATATAAAAGTTTCCGGATGTACCTGTTCAACTATGGATCTGGATCGGATATGAAAACATTACGTGAAAATCAAACATTATAATAAAACAACTTTTAAATTTTTTTGTTTGAATAATTATTTCAGATAAATTTTATCAGAATGGTAAAAATATACCCGCGCTTTTGAAGCGCAGATCAAAATCTAGTATATTATAAAGTGACATCTTCACTTGGTACCTGAATTATGTTTTAATCGATATTGTGATTTTTTTTTAAAGCTTTTCTGATTTTTGATTTTTTTCTACCAATTTGATTTTGTTTCTATTTTTAAAGCTTTTCTGATTTTTGATTTTTTTTAAAGCTTTTCATTTTGTGATGCGATTTGTAATTTTTTTTTAAAATAAAGATATTATTCATTATCTAATGTGCTTATACACTATTTTTTAATTATATCATTTTTCCTACATTTTTAGCTTTTGTCTTAATAAATTAAAACTTTCTACATGAAACTAATGAATAATATCTTTATTGTAAAAAAAATTACAAATCGCATCAACTAAAATGTTGCGATGAAATGTTTGTAGAAATTGAAAGTTGCGTACCTTGCCGAAGTTGGTCATGGTTCAGGCTTCGGTACACAATAACAACAAATAAGGTGATTGATTATGAAATAAAGAAGCTGAGGTGAAAAATACCACACGTAAAGTCGGATCTTTAGTTTAATAAAATTAGTGTGTGAACACATTTATTGTTAAATGATTGTGAGGTCGACATGTGTGAATTATTGTGTGAACGCATTTATTACAATGCTTCTCTTTTAATATATAAGGGATGTAATTTGAAAGATAATAGTTCTATTTGCTTTGAAAATTATACTCTCTATGTAATTTGAATATCATTTTTTTGTGCGCATAATATTATTTAACGTTCGAATATGAATATATATACATGAAAGTCTTTTTAGAAATTATTTACTGTGTCATTTGTACATAATATTTATATTCCAGTTTCAAGTATTCAAAAATACTTTAAAACTTATGATTGGATTAAATATTAGATCTAAAAAATAAAAATTTATCATAGGTTATTAATAACGAAAAGAAACTAATATTTTCATATCAATAATTTTTTTCTGTTATCATTTTTCATTTTCTTTAAATGATATAATAAAATTTTCATAAAATTCTTAGGAATTACAAGTTTTTAATTTTATATAATATTCAAATGTATGAGTTATTTAATCAAATTTTTTGAACTATAAGCATGTTTTTGGATTTTTGACAGATCATCAGATACCGGATCATGAATTAATAGTGAATTTTCTATTGCGTTTTATCGAATTATTAGTCAACAAATGTTGCTAGATCTATCGGTTTAACCATGGGTCGAGGTTTGATATAACTACACTGCTTAAAAATCAAACTTATAAATTATAATAGAATAACCTTCTTTTTTTTTAAATACTAATAAAACAATTTTTAAATTGCTTATTTTCTAACACATGTTATAAATTAAATCAGTTTTATCAGAATTGTAAAAAAATTTCCGCGCTTTTAAAGCGCGGGTCATATCTAGTATATGAATTAAATAAGAACATAAATCTTCATAAATATATTAATGAAATTACTTTTATATGGAGCCGGCAATGATTGATCATAAATCGATGCACATCATATTATGGTTTCAAATATGCCATGTCATATTTTTGAATGTACCATGTCATATTTTTTGTTGGTGAGAGTCATTCGAGACTATGCCATGTCATATTTTTCTTCAAAATCACTTCACAAATATAGTCTAAGGAATAACAATTATAAATTATAAAATAAATTGAAGAATATTTCGAAATTGTAAAATGTTATTTCATTTTATTTAGTATTATATTATTTACTGTTATATTAATGATGATTTATGAAAAATTACCATATTTTAGAAACTTACCAAAATACAAAATACTAATTAATGTAAATATCCATGTCATAATTAAAATTAAGCCATGTCATATTTGTTAGTATGCCATGTCACTTTTTTCTTTCAAAATCACTTCTCAAATAATAACTAAAGGATTCATATTGTATGTTTTTTGAGAATACGCGTTTTAAACATTTAACCTCAATAATCTGCATACAGTTAGGTGGTTTACAACAAGACTTTGAGTAATCTTTATTTACCAAGCTTGTGAAAAGGTAGTTTTGCGCCAATTATGCTATGTGCATCAGCATCAATCACCTTTTCATTCACGTGAAAACCATTTACGCCTCCCCTAAACTGGTCTGATTTGGTTTAAAGACTCCACGCTCCATATTTAAAGCAAAACCCTAAGCCAACATAAGGATGGATTATATATTTATAACATTGTGGGCTTCTGAGGCCGAGCCACTACAACACTGAACACACATGAACTTAACTGCATATATACAATATTATAATTTTTTAAAATAATTACTATCATTTGCAAAGTTTGCCGCTCCATATTTTTTTCTTTCAAACATTACAGTTTGTTTGAAGAGGAATTTTTTTTTTATCATTTGTGCATCTTGTGAGGGGGTTTATGGTGGCATGGCTTGTGGTGAATGGGTTTACGGTTGATTGGTTTGTGGTGAATGGGTTTACGGTGGTGAATGGGTTTGTGGTGGATCGGTTTATGGTGGTGAATGGGTTTGTGGTGAATGGGTTTAGGGTGGTGAATGGGTTTGTGGTGGATGGGTTTAGGGTGAATGGGTTTGTGGTGGATGGGTTTAGGGTGGTGAATGGGTTTAGGGTGGTGAATAGGTTTGTGGTGGATGGGTTTAGGGTGAATGGGTTTCTTGTGAACGAACTTGGGCACGGCGAAGTTAACAAGAGAATGGTAAATAGTACCGGGATTCCATTTTTCCGGGATAACACATTTAGCAACTAATACTGTTTTGGTCACAGCGGAGGTAAGCCGGACGTCGAAAGGACCTTTCAATGCACGACCAGCGTTAAGTTTCCAAACAGCGGATCTCATCGCCTCCATTTTAATGTATGTCTTCTCGCCGGCCGGTAGGATCTCCACACATTCAAAGTTTCCATCACCGTTTACAAATTTAACCGCGAACGACATGTAGTATGGATTTGCTCCAGGGTCAATATGAATAGCTATTTTACTATTAGGGTGTTCGCAAAGTACACTGCATAACATTGCTATTATAAATAAGATTATAATCCTTAACCATGAAACATCAATGAAAAACTAAGGAACAAAACATCAATGAAAAATTTGTTAATCCAGTATAGTTTATTTTTATTACTGCTAAAGTCTTATATCTTCATCAGCCAAAAGAATGTTTAAATATAATATATTAACATAATGTTAGTTTGAGATGACAATTTATTTGTTTCTGTTATTTCCTGTCCAAAAATCCAATTTTAATTGTACCAAACCAAATTTTGAAAAACCGAATTAACAATACTTACCGCTTGTACTTAACCTGTAATTCTCCAAGGTTACGTAATTGATCGCCTTGGCCAGGGTTGGCCAATGCACCAAAGGCCTTGCCGCTAAGATCAAAATGGACCGCCGACTTCGTGCAGCCAGGACACTCATCCGATATCATCACCTTGACCGGCCTTTTCGTGCAAAATGGATGGTCGCATACGACCTACAATGTATGTATATAGGAAACATTAATGTTAGTATAACTATACATTACACTGTGATTTAATTTAAGTTACATATAAATACCTCATAACATGTCCCACAACCCTTGCCATCTTGGTAAATTGAAGGTCCTCCAGCTGAAATCATGCAGTCGTATGGCGGTTTTGCAACTGCATCACCGTATCCACAAGCTCCTCCTATTTAAGAACCGGTTTTAAATATGCAGACTAAAAACAGTTTCAAAATTTATGTGTTAAAACGGTTTTGGGCTTTATGCTCAGGTCTTATGTTGTTGTTCGATTTTGGTTTTGAGTTTGTCTTTGATACGCTGTTCCGAGTTGAATTTTTAATAAAGCTACGTAAGAGTTAAAAAAAAAAGAACAAGAAATGATCAAGTTAATTACCTGAACTACCAAAACCTTCTCGTTCACCATACCAAGTTATGCCGGCGGCGTTCCAGTGGGTTTTATTATGGCAATAACATAGTTTCAATGAGATTGCAAAGAGAGCCACGATAAAATAAAAATATTTGCATGTAAACAATGCCATGCTTTTGAAAGATTGAAGTTTTCTTTGGTTGGAGGAACACCAGAGTTAAATAGCTTTTAGATTTTCTACTAAAAAGAAGACAATTATAGTTATCCTAGATTTTAGGAAAACGACATCTTAAAAAAGGTTATTGGAGCATATAATGAGGTTTTGTTTTAAGAAAACTACTATAACAGAATAATTACCATTCAATAAAGGTTTATTTTTATTCATTGGTGGAGGTTAACGTCAATTATATGTTCAAGGAGTAAATAAAATAGTATATTTTGTTAATTTAGAGTGCACACGAATACATATATCATCTGCCATCATATTTACAATAGAGGTTTTATGTGAACTGAAAAAGTTTCTAAGTTTTCTATATTGAGGATCAAGTGGATCCCTGGAATTGTATATTTTGTTAATGGTTTTCTTCAACATAATGCAGTTTTAAAACTTTGTCCCTAGAATAACCGGTACAATTAACTCTGACTAAACTGAATACAAAACATGAGAGAGCTCCTTATAGTTAATATGCGACATTAAAGCCCTTCTCAGCTATGGTTTACTCATATTGCTATATTGATTATGGTTATGTAAATACGGTTTAGTGATTATAGATAGATATCCGGTTTGTCCCGGTTAGTTTGTTATGACAACTGTATATAGTCACACAAACATCATTTTTTGGAATAATAACAGAAAAATTCCTTTTGTCGTCTCTCTCTCTAAGCTCCCTTTCGTCATAGCTGAACTCTAGAAAATCTTTCTGTTCATCTTCTCTTTTACTAAAATGGTATCAGAGCGTTGAGCCCTAGCTCAACAATCGATCCTCTTTCTCTCGTCTTCCGCTTCCTCTCTGTTCTCTCGTCGATCTTCTCCTTCGTGTTCTTCGTAACGATGGTGGTTTCTCTTCGTCGGAATCGTCGTTCTGGTCGTTTCACTCGTGCTGGTAGCTCGAACACGCCAGCTGAAGCTGTTCTTGCTTCACCTCTGGTGTCTTCGTTTGTTCTTGCGGCCTTGATGAACCCAGACAGTATTCATTCTCCCCTGTATCTCCATAACGCTGACCATCCTGGACTGATGATTGTCTCTGTTCAGCTTGATGGATCGAACTATGGTCAGTGGAACTCTGCGATGAAGATAGCCTTAGACGCGAAGAACAAGATCTCTTTCATTGACAACTCTCTTCCTTGACCTGATGTAAGTGATCCTCTCTTCCGGATTTGGTCTCGTTGTAAGAGTATGGTTAAATCGTGGATCTTGAACTCGGTTTCTAAACAAATCTATGGTAGTATCCTTTCATTTGATGATGCTTCTCAGATTTGGAAAGACCTTCATGATCGTTTTCACAAAACCAACTTTCCTAGAACCTTTCAGTTGGTTCAACAAATCCAGGATCTACGTCAAGGTTCGATGGATCTCTCTCTATATTACACTACTCTGAAAATGCATATATAAAAATGTTACACTAAAATATGAAATTATTAATATAAATATATAATTAAATATTAAACTATAAATAAAATATCATATTAAGTCTTGTAATATTGTTTTTGTCTAGTTTTAATTTTAACTATTTTAGATCTTATCTTGTTTTTTAAAAAATATGTGTAATTTAAATTTATAAAAAAATTGAAATATTTATGAGATGAGAATTTTTAATGGTTAAAATTATAAAACATAAAGTATATAAGAACTATAAATATAATGTATAATTATAAGGACCCAAATGCAAATAAAAATATGAAACCTTAAATTTGAAGTTTCATCCTATATTTGTGTTTTGGTCTTTACAATTAATTATATATTATATTTATGTTTTTTCAATATTTTTTTCGTGTAAGGTTTTAATCCTTAAAAATTGATATTTTCTAAATATTTCAAATTCATTTTTATAAATTTAGTTTTATACATTAAACTTTAAAAATAACATTTATATTATTTTAAATTGGTTGTGTAATCTTAAATATATTAAAATAGTATAGAGGACTAGTTATGTAATATTTAGTTATATAATATTCTTAATCATAACCAATAATAATTTTAATTTTAATATACACTTCTATCAAATTCTAAATTTAAAAATAATCCTAAAGATGGAAATAATTTTTAATCTATAGATAAGTTATAAGTTAAAATCTTGATTAGTTAAAGTTATTGTATATATACAGTTCCAAAAGAAAGAAAAAGGTATATATATAGCATATGCTTTTTTTTACTGAGAAATGGTTATATATAGCATATGTTTCTATATAAAACTAGACTACTATATGTATGTGTAATATTGTGTAGATTTGAAACCCTATGTATATAATAGAATATGTAATAAATAATTTCATATAGAACAAAATAAATCATTATTATTTTTTATTTAAATTATTTTTATTTAAGAAAATTCTATCTGTTTTAACAAAAAAAATTATAGCACATGTGAAACTGTAACAATGATAATTTGTGTTATAAATTTTGTGTCGAAAAGATTAATACTTTCTCAGTGTCAAAAAGATTCATATTCTAGAAAAAAAAATTGTTTTAAAAAGATACAGTTTTATATTTTCAAAGTATTCATTAATGGTATATTGTAAACTTCCAAGAATATAATTTTTTTTTCAGCACCTCGACATCCGCCTGGACGATCGTGATGTCAACCGCTCTCACATCTTCATGGACGTGGAGCACTTTTCGAGCGCGGGTTCGCTCAAGGAGGACCACAAATGGAGTTTCAGGATGGATAACCGGATGCGTTTGCTCCCACTGCCCAACCAGGAGATCACTGACTTTGATGAGGATGATCCCGAGTGTCTCCGCTTTGAGCCATACGAGCGCCTGTTGCGCGACCATGATGAGGTACCTCACCGACTTCCAGGTACCCGTCGTGCTCGAGCAGCATATGAGCCCCCACTTCCCGATTTCCCAGCCACTCCAGATTTCCTGATGCAGCATGGAGACTTTCAGCGCGTCGTAGTTGATGGACTCAGAGCCATCTGGGCTAGATTGACGAGACATCCTTGCAGAAGCAGCGGGAGTGTTTGAGCGAGTTCACCATCAGCTGCAGGACCTTCTCGACAGCGCAGAGACACACAAACCAGAGACGACGATGCGACCGATGAGGACGCCGGCTAGTCCTTACATTTCTATCCCTTTTTATCATAGACTATATTTCTTGTATTTTTCATGCATGTTTTCGGATTATTAGGACCTATGTTTTAGACTTATTATGTTTTCTGTTTTCAGAATATTCTCTTATTTTCATTTGTGTTTGGAATGTCTAACATATCTAACAGACCTAACAGATAAGATGGTTTCGACCATTTTCAACCCGATGAGGCGACTCTAGCCATTTCCACATCGATCGATTTCTATCCAACCTGACTGATCGATTTCATTTCCATCTCCTCGATCGACAATACTACTGACGATTGATCGATTCAGAATTCAAGGAGGTCAGAAACGCTAACTTTCCTTTTCTAACATCTAATTTCTTTTCACGACCAATTTTAGGCTTGTTACACTGGAACAGTGTAATTTAAGTCTGGGAGAGGTAGCTATTAACATCTTATTTCTATGTTTCTTTGAATTAAAAAAAGGTTTTAGGAAGGGGATTATGATCATTTTGAAAAATTATTACTTATTATCTAACCATGCATCAGCACCACTCTTAGATTTGTTGACAATAGATTATACTAGAGATACTAAAGTGGATCACCTGACCATTAGATCACACTTGCTTAGAAAATTTGAAGGAACCGAAGCTAACCTCCAACCCTAATATGATTGATCTGCTTGCTTTGGGGCTTGGTATACATTGGATCGGATTCCTCCTTCAGGCCTGGAAGGTATGAGTCTGTAAATTTTTGGTTTCTTTCTCTCCTCTCTCCGGCATCTAAAAAAAAGATTGAGATGATTTCCTGAGAAGCAGAGGGTTAGGTACATTACCGATGACCCCACTATTCACCTACACTTTGTCCAAATAGAAACTCAATAAGGTGAATAAGATGGAAGGCATTAGTACATGTCTTAATTCATTGGCATTGAATTAGAAAAGATTCAGATAAGAGGGATATAAGGAGAAAAGAAACCAGAATATGACTACTTGTTTATTCAGATACCTGATGGAGTAAGAGTCCAAGCATCTAATGATCGATACTCCCAAGGTAAAGCCTTCACTTTATTTTCCTGTAAGGAATGGGGTTAGTAGAGGGGTGAGTCAAGCTAGTATTTGCTAAGTTGCTGGTAGAATGCTTTGGTTGATATGCTAGGATAATGTATATAGAGTGTTTCTGGAGTTGACACCCATTCGATGTGGCTGTAGTATTGTAGTGATGATGATTGTAAGTTTGAGAATTTTGTGAATCCCTGCTATTTTTCTAAAAACCTCTTTCCAGATAGACTATCTGTTTTTTTTTTTTTGCTTGAGGACAAGCAAAAAGGTAAGTCTGGGAGTGTAGATAGGTCATGGAATTTACCCATTGTTAACCATGACCTAGATATGATTTTCATATATTTCATAAGTATTTGGAATTTTTTAGTGTAATTTACAGGTCTAAGCACTTATGGAGAAAATAGGTGTTTTTGGAACATTTTGGAGACTTTGAAGAAAGCTTCTGCGGGAATGGAACATCGATCGACGATGCAAGATGAAAGACGATCGATGGTGATCCATTACGAATGATCGACGCAACACTGTAAGAATCGATCGATGTATATGCCACCCGTGAATTTACAACAAATTAGAAGACTTTAAGTTTTACATAAGTTATATTATTTTCAGTAATAGTCCCTGGCCGCTTGTAGGCTGTATTATTAGGGTTTTGTATTGTTTTTAAAAGGAGAGACTTGCCTAGAGATTTAGGAGACCCAGTTTTGGAGAGCAACTTGTTTACCATTGAAGGAAGAGAGTTTTAAGAGTTTGGAGAGATAGATCTGAGACTACAAAATAGAGAAGATCTTGAACTCCTTTGTTTCTTTACTTTTATTCTACTTTGTTTCTTTTTTACGCAATGAGTTTTATTTATACCATCATAACATTGTCTCTTATGAATATGTCTGAATAATCTCATTTGTTAGATTTAGGTTTTTCATTTGGTTGATCTATGTCTTGATTTTATGACTACTGTAAAGGTGTTTTAAATTTGTTCTTCAAGCCTAGTTAAGCTTAGCACTAGATTTAGGATTGATCACCCTTAAATCTAAACCCTAGGATTAAATTGAGTCAAATAGTTATTACTCATTACATGAACTCTAACTAGCTTGATCTAACTAACTAGATTCATACGACAGTTGGTCTAGAGAGTTTGAGAATAATAATAACATGTTCATAAAGCTTGCTAGAAGAGTTGTCGATCGTCGCGAGCATCCTCGTATCGATCGATTACTTGAAAGGTGTATCGATCGATTGTCCATAAGGATAATCGATCGACTCTTTTTCGTGATCAAAATACGAAAGTTGAGATCCGAGATCTATACAAGGAAACCTGTTTGGTTTCATAATTTATGTTTAAATACATGAACAGTTAAATCCTTAAAGTCAGAAATCATTTGCATACTGATACTTGAGATAATGCCTAAGTCTAGCTACCTTCCTAATTGAAAACTACTTCCAATTCAAGTTACTGAATAATCATCTGTTTGCTTTGTTTTGATTGTTATTTTAAATCGTTTAAACCAATTTCCAGTCTAACTATACTTAAATCTTTGAGTAATCCTTGAATACTTGTGGATTCGATCCCTAAGTTAATCACCTGAGGTTACAAATATTAATATGGTTATCACCAATGGTTGCAATCATCTATACTATTAAAACAAGATCCTATTGTTAAAATTTTGGATTCTACCCTTAGATTTTTATCATATTTATAAGATAATACCACTATTTATTTTTAGAATCTTAATTAACTAAGCAATTTAATATCTCCTATATTTATGGTAACTGGTAATATTTCGGATTTTTGTGATTAATTATAATTTTCCTTTTCTGAAAATTATGATTTTATATTTAATTTTAATATCATATTTTCGTGCATCATATTATTTAACGATCAAAAATTATAAATTATTATTTTCTGTGTCATTTTATCCATAATAATGATATGTCAATTCATTTTTTTTTTAAAATCTAATTTTTAGATATAAAATGAGTAAAAATGTAAACTTATCATAGGTTATTAATAACGAAAAGAAAATAATATTGTTATATGAATAAATTGTGTTTTTTCTATTACCATCGTTTCATTTTTTCAAATGACAAGAAAGTTTTTATTAAAGAAATTACAAAAATCAATTTTCTTTAATATTAAAAATATGAGTTATTTTAAAAAAATATATTATCAGTTTTTTATGGGGTTATTTAACGGATCAAAAAATATCATAATACAGATTAATAGCAAGTTTTAAGATATATACCAGGTTGGCTCAAATTTTCAATTAGTAAATTTTTAATTAAATCTTAACTGGATTATATAAAAGTTGCCGAATGTACCGGTTCAACTATGGATCTGAGTCTGATATGAAAATATTACTTGAAAATCAAATATTATAATAGACCATTTTTAAATATTAATAAAACAACTTCTAAATTTTTGTGTTTGAATAATTAATTTAAATAAATTTTATTAATTAAAATGGTAAAACTTTATCCGCGCTTTAAAAGCGCGGGTCAAAATCTAGTTAATATGGTTATTACCAAAGATTGCAATCTTGCAAACTTTTATTTATGTAGTTGCAATTGTTCATATAAACAATTGCAATGGTTTCTTGCACCCTTTCATGAAAATATATAACACCAAACCAGACCCACAACCCTCATCATACTTGCTGTCACCAATACGTCTAATGGTAGAGAGCCTGTTGCGGATTGTTCTAATGGTAGGCAGCTAAAGCTTTAGTGGTACGGTTCTAAGTCCGTTGTCAAGTACCCTCGCTGCAGCCTCCTGCGACACTCAACTTATGCGATGCAGAATAGACTTTGGTGAAGTTCATGAACAAATTTTGTCAGATTATTTTAGTTTTGTCCCAGAATAGTGTTATGATGATCATTGTTTTGTCAAGGGTTGATATTGAGTTGAATTCTTTTGGGACAGGATGTCAGGATGATTCATTTCAAGTTCTCCTTTTAGCTTCCATATGGATCTTTATTCTCTTGTTGGGAGGAAAAACCTACCGGATCTGTAGATTTTTCCTGCACATATCGAGAGACGTTTTCTACATAAAAATACTTGACTCATTTAATTATTGTAAATTCTGTTATCTTCAAAGTATTTTTCTCATAGGTTCACATTATGTTGGAGAATTCAAAATCTACATAAAAAATACTTGACTCATTTAGTTATTGTAAATTCTGTTATCTTCAAAGTATTTTTCTCATAGGTTCACATTATGTTGGAGAATTCAAAATCTTATATGTTTCCCAACGGAGTGATATCATAGAGTCGGCTCGGTTGGTTGTAGTTTGCTTGTGCAATATTACCCCATCATGGGAACATATGGGCTAGAATCGCTACATATTTACCAGGAAGAACTGATAACGATGTGAATAACTTCTGGAGTAGCAGACTTGAGAGACTCGCTAGGATTCTCCATAACTCTTTCTTCTGATGCATCGAGTTCCGGTTGCTCTGCATTACCAAACCTTCTTCACGTCGAAACAAGGGCAAAAACGTAAATTTTCATCTTCCAAGATTCTTCCTAGCTCATCATCATCAGACCAAGTTGATGAAGCCTTGAGGTTGCCGGAATTGGGTAGCAAGTAACCTTTGGGGATGATCTCGATGACCCTTTTTCTATGATATCCTCGGACTTGCTGATTCTTCTAGGCGCAGGCGAGGGCTCAAAAAACGGTTGAGGAAGGAGCGAACAAATACTTGTATCAAAGGATGATGAAGGAGAAGCTGATGTTTTTTTAGATGATTTCCCTGCTGACATGTTTAATCAAGTTAATGATCCAGTAAAGAGTTTTTAGATTGTCCTTTCAAGATTAGTCACTTCCTGTTTTAGGTCTAACTTGACACGACTCTTGGCTAGTTTTGTTTTCTACCTACATTCTTATGTAATGGCAGTTCTTCTTTCTATTTTTAATTTGTAAAGTCTTATTTGATTTGAATGAAAACATTGAAACCATGATTCATACATAACTCATACAGAAACACTTCAAATACAATCAAAAGTACAGAAAACAGAGGCCCTTCAGAGCATTGACTAAACCGGTGTTCGGCTTATGACAGGCTCATCACTAACATGATCATGACTAAACCTGATTCCGGCTTGACCATGACTCAAAACCACCTCATACTCCCCAGTTTCAACGGACCCATCTTTACTTGAGACCTCTCTTCTCAACTCAACATAAGCACAGTAGTCTACTTCATACACAGTTGTATCTCTATAGAACTTCGAGAATGTAGTTCCTACTCCTTCCCCTAAAATACGATCAAAAAGACTTTAGAATCTAACTAACTCCACATAGCTCATTAAATCAAAGAAGCACAAACTAAGGCAGAGAAGAGAACATAGTAAAAGTAAAAGTCAGAGACTTTCTTACCGTGGGTGACTAAGAGCAAGTTCTCAGTAGGATACTTATCAGCAAGAGCCTTTACAACATTAACATAACGTTCTCTGCAACCTTCCACAGATTCTTCCCACTCTGGCATCTGAACACAAGAGTTTATACTTAAAAATACAAAATATGGAAAAAAAAAGATAGAAACTTTTGAAAAGGTCCTAAAAGAGATTCACCTCTTTATAAACCATATCCACGTCATGATCCACCATCCCCTCAGGAAACATAGCTTCAAGATCCGAAACCCTGAAGTCAAAGTTTCCATCTTTAGGAGCAAGCTCACGCCTTATAGCCACTGCATTCAACATCTCACACAACCCATACTCAATAGCAACCTGTACCAACACGACAAGGAACACAACACTACACTATCAGGAACAGAGCACTAGTCTATTATGGAACAGAACAGGTCTAAATGTTCAAACTTTCCGACAAAACAGATGATCTGACCTTGAGCTTAGATGTATCAACAGAAGGTACGTCTTTGGAAGACATGGCGTTGGGGTCAACACTAACAGCCGAGAGAGCTGAGACAACCTCGGAAGCTGTCTGAATGCAACGGAGGAAAGGGGAGACGAAGACGCGGTGAATCGGGAACCCGATCTGAGATCGGATCCTTTGACCGGTTCTGAAAGCTCGAATCATGCCGTCTTCAACGAGAGGTGGATCCCAGGGTCTCGCAGCTGTTGAGACCCAGAGTGGCTCGAAGTTATCGATGCGATCGCCGTGACGCATGACGAAGAGGTGTTGGTAGGCATCGTTGTTATTGGGTTTAGGAGATGAGTCCATTGTTTCTTTTCTTTTTCTCTCTTGGTTGTTGCTTTTGCTGTGTGTCCTTCGCGTCTCTGTTTATAAATAAGAAACGGTTTTTTTTGGCCTTTTCTTAACGTCATTATCATAATTCATACCACAGTGAAGATGTAAAAACAAATTTACTATTTAGAGTTTGATAATAATTATTAAAAAAAAAGTTTTTTTTACTGTTTCGTATCAATCCAAACTATTTTTTTTTTTTTTTTTGATCAAATCAATCCAAACTATTCAAAATCGAAATTCTAGAACAATTACAGTTAGGAACGATAATGGATAGATAAATAAAAATATATTTTCGTAAATATTTAATAAATTTAAAATTAAGATATAAATATTATAATTAAAAACATTATATATTTGATATTTTATAGTTTATATTTACTAACTACTATTATAATTTATATTTATATATAACAATTTTAAGCAATATATGTAAAAATCTGAAAAGTAAAATAGCCCTTCTTACAATTATAATTTTCACATAAACAAAAATAAAAAATAAGATAAAAGTATTCTTATTAATTACATTAGTTTAGATAATTTAATATTTACTATATAATATGAAAAAGCTAAAATAAATGTAAATATTATTATTCATTTGGTGATTTTATATTTTTATAATAATATAGTTTTATATATCTTATTACAATATCGACATAATGTGTTAATATTGTTAACTGATTATTAAACCTTTGTTGCATATGCTAAATACATTTATTTCTAACTGTTGTAACAGTTATATAAATTGTTTAATAGTGACTATAACTTCAACTATTTATACCAGTAAATTTTCACAACGCACCCACTGCGTTTAAACCTGTTAATAACTCATGTTTTTCTAGGTTCCAAAAAGTCTTCAAAATTTAAATTTTCAAAGCCCCCCAAAAAAAATTCAATAAAACAGCAGGTATTTAGTATAGATGGAATTACATCACTATCGACATCTACTCTAACGAGTCATGCCACATTAACACTGTCTTTGAAAAGGATGCTTTTATTTGATAAAGAAAAGGTTGAGTGGCGAGAAAATGGCGACACACGTGGAGATGGTGATGAATGAAGTGCGAAAGAAAGCTATGGTTTTTCTATTAATTATATGGGATAATACAATGGATTACTTTAATCCTATTTGGATGTTAACAAGTCCATATCTCATCATTTACTTGTTTGTTCTAAGAATTTAAATAAAGAACTGTTCCTTAATGGAGTGGTTGAATACAAACCCACCATGCCAACAACACTAATGATCATTTCAATAAATAAGATTCCCATTAACATAGTTGACCAATAATTTACCTTCAACTCGAATGTTTAAACTTTTAATAGCCGTTGAGGTGAAAAATTCGGTCGATTAAAAGTCGATCGTTTATAAATATCTTTACTAATAAATAACGAAAGAAGAATTTGAGTAAAAAAAGTATATAAAAAGTAGAAATAGTTAAGGTTAGAGTTGCACACTAACATTTTGGGATTAATGTTGCTAGTGTATAGCAGTTTGTATATATGGTCAATTTATCTTCATTAATCGTTTAATGGAAAAAACTATAGGCAAGATAAGAACTATATTCATTGATTTTCTTGAACTGACTACAATATAGTTCCTGTTATATATTTGTAATGAAGTGCAAGGCAGTTTAACCGGAAAATTCTAGATATCCAGTATCCGGATACATTTGGCTAAATAGGAGTTTGACTTATAGGACACATGATCATAGGTGTGATGTGGTGGTCATGTGGTACTTAATTCCAGCTTCACCAAGACTTGTAATCACCTCAAAGCGTCCAGCTTTAGTAGACCCTTCTTGACTCAAGACCTGTCTTCTCAGTTCAGCACAAGCACAGTACTCAATATCGTACACATCTACTTCTTTATAGGTTGCAAATGTAGTTCTTACTCCTTCCGCTGCATTATCGCCAACAGAGAGGTTTTACATGTCAAAGATATTGCTTAGGGCATGATCATTGGTTGCTTACCGTGAGTGACTAAGAGCAAGTTCTCTGAAGGATACTGATCAGCAAGAGTGTTCAGCACACTAAGAAACCTATCTGTGCATTCTTGTATAGTCTCTCCCCATTGTGGAATCTGAACATAACCAAGAAAGAGATAATTAGAAAACAAGAATTAAGTTGTTAGCAGGCCGGCTCAACATGTATTTGGACTCTTGGGCAAATTTTTTTTTGACTTTTAATATTTATATTTATTAAAAATTAAATATTTTTTTAAAATTTTTTAACATCAACATCTTTTAAAAATTTGTTATGAAAATAAATTATGTATATGTAAAATATTTTAGGGCTCCTATTCAACTAAAAATTATAAATATTTAAAATTTTCTATATAAAAATATGTATATATAAAAAATATTAGACCCCTTAATTAGTAAAATTGGGGCGACACGGGTTTGGAGTCGGAGCGGTCGCACCGTTGTTCCCCGTTGTAAGCCAGCCCTGGTTGTTACTCAAACTGCTTCCAAGAATGCAATAAATAGCTAGAAAGATTACCTCTTTATAAGCAGGAATCGCATTATGATCCACCATTCCCTCAGGAAACATAGCTTCAAGATCTGAAATCAAGAACTCGAATTTTCTATCTCTAGGAGCAATCTCAGGCTTAATAGATATTGTGTTGAGCATCTCGCTCAAACCAAACTCAATAGAAACCTGAACCAGACAAGAACAGAACAATATCAACATATGTAATCTTGATTCTTGAACACACATATTACATATATACCTACAAAATCTACATATGGTTAATACATAAGATGGCCTGATACAGACCTTGAGCTTGGATTTGTCGATGGAGAGGACGTCTTTAGAAGACGTAGCGTTAGGGTCAAGATCGATGGCGGAGAGTGCGTTGACCACTTCTGAAGCCGTCTGGACGCAGCGGATGAAGGGAGAGACGACGACCCTGTGGATAGGAAACTGTATCCGAGATCTAAGCCGTTGACCAGTCCTAAACGCACGAACCATACCGTCGTGAACGAGCGGAGGGTCCCAAGGTCTGGCAGCTGTGTCTAGCCAGAGTGGGTTGACTTGGTCAATGCGGTCACCGTGACGCATCATCAAAATGTTTTGATAGGTAACGGTGGTATTCGAATTAGCAGAGGACTCCATTGTTGCTCTGATGAGTGTTGGTCGTGTGACCTTTGGGAGTATGTTGCAACTAACAGTAAACATGGAGTTCTGTGTTTTTTTTTAGCAAATCTCTTTCTTTATTTTTGTATTAAGCCAAAAGAGAATATACGTATCTAATTATATGTTTTTAATAAATAAAATTTATTTTCAAGGGACCACAAAAAGCTAATGTGTCCAGATGATATTATGTAAAGGACAAAACATGTTAAACCGGAAGTGAATGGATGATAACAATATTTATGGATTGAGATTTTGTGGTCGTTCAGAGATATTTTTTCAAAGGTTTATTTGTGTATTAACGATATTTGAAAGATAAATTAAGTGAATGACAATAATTTTAACATAATTAACAAATTAACATTTACATCATAATTCATCCAGTTATATTCTTTTTCATCGTCATTATTCGGTAAAAATGTGTTATGTATCCACGTGGTTCATATAATATATGGTCAAGTATATCTAAAAACCCTTTTATAACAAAGAAGAATAAATCATTCATGTCACACGATTATTGACCACATGTATATGCACTGAATGTTTTATTTCATATGGCCGAAATAGTATAGAATTATAATTCTATTTACAATTCCTAAATACTAACCATTACCTCAACCCTTAAATACTAAGCCCTAAACTTCATTACTAAACCCAAACCCAAATAAAAATTATAATATAAGTTTGTATTATATTAAATAAATATAAAATCTGCAATGTTATTTTATTTGACATAATAGTATAGCTCATAAAATAAAGGTAAATAGTATGGAAGTACGAGAGGTCCCCAAATGACAATCTCAAATGTGCATAAAGTAACCTCTATTAGTTAAGCACTAAACTTTATATGGAAATAAATTCTAATGCAATGTAATCCTAAACATCAAATGAGTGACCATAAAATTAATCTTTAAACCACAAACAATAATATAAACAACATTTTATCAACTAAACACTATGTTGGGGTCAAAATCGGTACGACGAAATTAATAGCCAAAACTCCTCGCAAAGATACAAAAGGAATAGTTTTATAAAACCCGAAGAGTCGTTTTATAAAACTCGAAGTCATTTATAAAACTCGCAGACCGCTTTATAAAACTCGAGAAGTCGTTTTATAAAACTCGAAGATCGTTTTATAAAACTCGAGAAAACGTTTTATAAAACTCGAAGATCGTTTTATAAAACTCGAGAAGCCGTTTTATAAAACTCGAAGAATCGTTTTATAAAACTCGAGAATCGTTTTACGAAACTCGAAGATCGTTTTATAAAACTCAAAGATTGTTTTATAAAACTCGACGATCGTTTTATAAAACTCAAAGATCGTTTTATAAAACTCGAAGATCGTTTTATAAAACTCGAAGATCGTTTTATAAAACTCGAGAAGCCGTTTCATAAAACTCGAAGAATCGTTTTATAAAACTCGAAGATCGTTTTATAAAACTCGAAGATCGTTTTATAAAACTCGAAGATCGTTATATAAAACTCGAAGATCGTTATATAAAACTCGAAGATCGTTTTATAAAACTCGAAGATCGTTTTATAGAACTCGAAGATCGTTTTATAAAACTCGAAGATCGTTTTATAAACTCGAAGATCGTTTTATAAAACTCGAGAATCGTTTTACGAAACCGCAAAAAAACCGAAACAGCCGTAAAACGCGAACTAATTGCAACTAGTTCGCCCACCGGCGAACTAAAGACTTCCTGGACGTCCCGGGCCTTGATCTCCCGCATCCCCGATTCGAAACTTACGTCTTTCGACACGGTCGCGTTCTGAACCACGGCCGAAACGTCTCCCGTTCCATCTCGATCCGACCTATCGTTCGAGTTTTACGATAAAAACCGTAAAACTTCATTTTCTCGACAAAGAACTCGAGGAAATCGTATAAAACGACAACGGTTAAACGAAACACCGAACATTGCCTAAACTATACGATTTATTCGAGATTTCTCGTTGAAATCATAAAAAACGCGTTTTTAATAAAAACGTCGAGTAAATCGTAAAAAACATGTTTTTAATAAAAACGTCGAGTAAATCGTAAAACCTTACGATTAGCTCGAGGAATTTACTAAAAACGGCATCAGATCAGGAAACGATCATGTACAAAGTCGGAAAACAGATTTATCGTAGAACAGCTCGGAAGGTCCTAAAACGCGATAAAAACCCATCTCGCGATCTTAACGGAATCTAACCCGAAGATTCGATAACGTTTTGACGGTTTACTCGCAGAAGGAAAATAACTGTCAAGTTTGAAGATAAAAGGAAGGTTTGAAGAAAAATAGAAGATTTCCGCGGAAGAAAAAGAAGGATCGAGAAAAATGGAAAATTCCCGATATAGTCAAATCTGGGCGAAATGGAAAGACCGAATGGCCAAGGCGAGGAGTATATAAATAAGAGGTCTAGGGCAGAAGCAAGGGACCCGATTTTCAGAGCTCTCACCACCAAAATTAGCATTTAGGAATATTTCTGTTTTCTGTTAGCGAGCTGCGCCTCAATTAGGGTTTTTCGTTCTTAAGTTTTCGGCTACTCTCTTTGTACCAGTTCTACGCAGATTCGGAATAAGAACCTCTTTGCTCTCGATTTTCGTTTATTCATTTAAAGTTTCTAAGTTTCTTGTTATCTTAATCTTCGTTGTGCGGTTCTGCAGATAGCCGGTTCCTCTGGAAACTTAGGGTTTTCCTGAAGTTTCCTTATTTACGATTATTTGACAGTAGGTGGATTTCGGTTCCCACAGTTTGGCGCTAGAATGAGGGGGGGTCGGATCTATCTTACACCGAAGCCGCAACATGTCCAACGAAGAAACGATGACCGGTGACAACCAAACTCGCAACGAACGCGATAACGTTGAAACAACACCACCACAAGGTGCGTCTACGGCCAACGCTACGAACTCTAACGCCGAGACCCTCGAGAAGATGCTTTCCGAGTTTAACAAAAAATTGGAAGAGCAGGAAAAGCTCATCGGTTCGCTCGCGAAACGGGTAGAAACCCTAAACGCGAAAACCCAAGCAATTCGCCCCCACGGAACTACTATGATCCGCGGAAGAAGGCTCGACTTTGGCGCTTCTACGGATCGTCCCAGAACCGAGCAGGGTAACTTACCGGAAAAGGAATCCGGAAAAGACAATCCTGACGCAACGCTGAACGAATCGGAGAAACCTCCTACTCACGAACAGGAGACCGAGGGTGACGGCATCGAAAGGGTTAACCTGGAGACAAGCGACCAGGCCGATTCGTCGGACAAAGACGCTGACGTCCATCCTAGAAGAAGAAAGACTCGAAGTCCCCTGCCGGAGTCTTCTCCCGAACGTTCTTTTACTGGAGACGAGGGGGAACTTGACTTCGCGCGATACGCAAAAACCGCCGAGGAGCGATCTCCAGTCACTCGCGGTAAACGCCGACAAGGTCGGCAAACTGCTGGCGGTCTGACCGGGATTCGCGATCTCCGCGAATATATCACCAAAACGGCCGCAGCGGTATAGGCGGTGAAATCTCAGATTCACCACGCTACCAGCGCCACACCCGAGATCGATCGGCTATTGTACGAGTCTCGGAAAACGCCCTTCACGGCCCGCATCACCGAGATCAAACTGCCCGATCCCGAAAAACTTAAGGTGCCGACTTACGACGGGACGTCCGATCCCAAAGCGCATCTGCAAGCATTCCTGATCACCATGGGACGAGCCAAGCTCAAGGACCACGAAAAAGACGCAGGCTACTGCCGCCTCTTTGTCGAAAACCTAGAAGAAGCCGCGCTCGAATGGTTCGCCAAACTTAGGCGAAATTCGATCGGAAGTTTCCGTCGATTGGTTTCGGAATTCCTGAAGCAGTACTCGATGTTCATTAACCCGGAAACCTACGACGCCGACCTCTGGAGCTTGGTGCAGAAGGAGGACGAATCTCTCCGCGATTTCATGAGCATATTCAAACTCGTCATGGCTAGGGTTAGCCGGATTAGCGACAAAGCCGCCATCAACGCGTTAAGGAAATCGCTCTGGTATAAATCGAAATTCCGCAAGTGGATAACTCTCGGGAAACCGCGGACGATCCAGGATGCGCTCCATAAGGCCACTGACTTCATAACCATCGAAGAGGAGACCAAAATCCTGTCCGAGAAGCATAAGCCGACAAAAACATCCGTGAAGGATAACGCGTCTGAGCAGAAGCAGAAAAAGAGGAACTCTCGTAACGACAAATTCGTCCATCACGAGGGACAGGATCTCCAAGGGGAGCATAACTATGCCATCAATTCCGGTTCAGAGCAAGGGCGAACTACGGGTAACACGTGGACGAGAAATTTGAATTACGACGAGAATTCTTTCTGCGACCTCCACCAATCCTGCGGGCATTCCACCGTAAACTGCAAAGTTCTCGGCGCCAGACTTGCCGCAAAATTGGTTGCGGGAGAACTTTCCGAGATATCTAGTGTCAAGGATCTCATCCGTGATTCGGATCGCCTTCCGAAGAACGACAGGAACGCGCGAGCAGAAACTCCGCCTCAGGGAAACCAGTCAGGCGAAAAGCCGACGCAAAGCCGAAACCGGCTCGAGTTGGAAGGTGCCGACGGATGACTTTCCGAAAGGAGTGATCTCATTCGATGACGCTGAAACCGGTGGAATCGACCAACCTCACGCTGATCCTCTCGTCATCGACTTAGTAATAAGCGATTTGGAAGTTGCTCGGATCTTGGTCGATACCGGAAGTACTGTCAATGTAATCTTCCGCAATACGCTAGCGCGCATGGGAATCGATCTCTCGGAAGTCGAGCCGATTCCAAAACCGCTGACTAGTTTCTCCGGCAAGACGTCAATGACCCTGGGATCAATCCGACTACCGGTTGCCGCAAAAGAAGTGACGAAAATTGTTAACTTCGCGGTAGTCGATTTCCCGGCCATCTACAATGTAATCATGGGAACGCCTTGGATAAATTCCATGAAGGCGGTTATGTCCACATATCACTTAGGCATCAAATTCCCGACGCCTACGGGAGTCGCAGTAATATGGGGATGCCA